CTTAATTCGAATGCTGTCTGCATCGCATGCAATAGCCTACAGTCTGGTAGCCTAGGCCTATGGTTAATGCTGAAATGCAAAATAAGAAGAAAAAAGAAAGATTCCTGTCTCTCTATTGAAAGTCTGTTTGCGCAAAACGTTCGTAAAAAGGTCTCAAAATTAATCTATATGAATTTAGCTGTTTGATCCAAGTCTTCTGAAGAAACACGATCGCTTTATGTGATGAACAAATATAATTTTTTTATTCACATATTGATCAGCGAACATAAACAAGCTCAACCGTGCATGCTTGCTGTGCAAGAATAAACCTCATTGGTTCACTTAGTTTTATCGTGGCCACGACATATTAACTCATGCGAATGTGATAATATGTCGTGGCCACACGATGTGAAGTCGAGTCCTCAAGATGTTATGTTGAGGAAACGACATATTTTTCTCTTGGCCAGGAGTTTAATGCGTAAACAAACCTGCGGTGACCATAGCAACTCGGGATTGTCAGAGATGGATTTATTCATATTTTATTTAGAAGTAAGAAATTATTATATTATTATAGAAATTATTACATTATTAAATTATTATATTAACAAACCATATAGGCTAACTATATTTAAGTCCTCACAGACAAATATTAATATTAATCATACTATAACAGAGAAACAAAACACCTACTAGAAATTAAATTAAATTAAATTAAATTAAATTAAATTAAATTAAATTAAATTAAATTAAATTAAATTAAATTAAATTAAATTAAATCAAATCAACCATAAACAATGTAGGGGTTTAAACAAAATAAGACTTAATAAACAAATCAAATAATTTATTGGCCCTATCTCTTCTCATAATTTTTAGGACCTCTGTATACATGGCTAGCTCCTTTTTAAAGACATTAAACCAGGGTGTTGTTTTAAAAACTTTACATTTGTGAATAAAGAATTTATTATAAGAAGCAAACGATTTACAAGTTGCAAGAAATAAGTGTTCAACATCATCATTATTACAGAATTGACAAACGTTACAATCTACATTAAATCTTAATCTCAGAAATTCCTTAGCAGGATAAATATCATACATAATTAAAAAAATGCACTTCTTGACCGGAATCTTTCTTTCAGGGATAAATGAAAGCCTGACGGTGTTGGAACGGCACGGGTGAGTAAATGATGACAGAATTTACATTTTGGGGCGAGCTTTCCCTTCAATCAGTTTGAAATAAGAATTAGGTGCTGTTTTGGAATACAATAAAATGCTTTTCAAGCATATGAGGAAGACATTGAGGCTTTCTAGGGTTATTAACAACATTCCCCATGCTTTTGGACTGCAAATAGCCCATCTACCTCAGTGTTATCTGTGCCAGTCAAGCAGAGAGACATGTTTAAAAGAACCTGAAGTAAATGTAAACATTTACCGGTAGAGAGAAGGGGAAAACGAGTTGAAAACACCACAATTGCTGCGTCATGCCAGAGCTGCTTCAGGGCGCCAAGAGCTAAATTGGTTTACGAGTTAATGCGAACCAATGCTGATGAAGACATAATTACAAACACAAAGGCAGAAACGTGAAATACAACCTAGAATGGACACAGACAAATAAATAGGGCATTTAAGAAATGGATTAAAGTCATGTTTATGCTGGACACATTCACTGTGGCACGAAACGCCGCAGACGGCGCGCACTCCTCAAAGATGCTGAGAGGCGTCTGTAGCTACTCGACACCAGCGGCCTGCTGGGTCGATTTCAAAAGCATTAGCGGTTGAGCAGTGTTCTACAATTAGCTTTAACCAAAATCCTGCTGCCCAAATATGACTCGGCACCTATTAGACACAAACGCACTCACAAACCTTTGCGAAAAAGTGTGCTTAAATGTGTTGAAAGTGCACTTGTAGTGTACTTAAAATGCAGTATGTAATATTGACAGCTAGTGGTTATGGGTACTGCAGTCCAAATTCAAAATATTGGATAGAGTTATTTCTCCCGCCCACTTCTCCACAGACTCAATGCTTACATGGGTTGCCAGATTGAGGGCACGAGCCTTACACTGTTAGTTGATTATGTCATGGCTGCATAATGCTGTGCATAATGCCAACCCGGGCGGCCAAAATACTATTGGGTAAATTGTAATTGGGTGGAATCATTCAGACCAAAATAAAAATAGATATTCTGACACGGAACACAACATTTCAAAAGTCAAATAACTGTCTGTAGCAGTGTTTTTCGAAGAATCGAGTATTTGAACTTTGCATAATTATTACATACAGCACCTTTAAAATCTTAAAAGGATATTTTTAGAAAACTGAATTTGCAGATAATATAATATGAAATTAAAGGCCACTTAAGTGTATTTAAAAATACACTTTCATGGCTCTTCTTAAGACACTTAAGTAGACACTTAACTGCGCTTTTTTAAAAGTGCGCTAACATGTAATTCTGCGTATAATGGTTGTGTATTATCCAATTAGGGGTGCGTTTCCCAAAAGCAACTATGGTCGCAAGTTCCATTAGAGTTCATTTGAACTTGCTAACATAGAGTTAGCGAAATGCACCCCTGATGGATGTATTAAATATTTAATTTGAGAATGGCACTTTGCTGCCACCTACTGGACTGGAGGGTAGGAGAGCAATGGAGGCCTCCATGATTTAAATAATTCAATGTTTTTCACCAAAACTGATATGAGGTCAAGTAATGATAACAGTTTTTCCTTTAACATGATACGCTTAAAATATAGACGTTAAATAGAAGATCTTAACTTTCATACTTTTATGGAAGCTTGTTTCTGCCACAGGAATAAAAGTAATTAAATAATAATAATACAAATAAAATAAAAAAAACTTTTATCCCACAATTCTGACTTTTTTCTCGCGATTCTGCAAATAAAAAGTCAGAAATCCAAGATATAAACTCAGAATTCTGACTTTCTTTCACAATTCTGAGCAATTATTATCTTGCAATTCTATTTTTTCTCAGAATTCTGAGTTTACATCTCACAATTTTGTTTTCTTTTGTTTATATCTCCCAGTTCTCACTTTTTTTTTCAGATTTGCAAGAAAAAAAAAATTTAATTGTGACATAAAAATTACCATTTTTTTGTCCCGTGGCGAAAACAAGCCTCTATATACATTTGTGGATGTGTCAGGCATAATATACCTCATGTCAAGACTACTTTATAACAACTTTATACATGGTAACTACAAGTTAGTATCATATTTTTCAAAATCCATAGCTTTAGGTGAGTTTATATATTGCTTTGGCTGCACTGGTGTGCGTTTGGTCCAGACGGACCTGCTAATGTTATGTCTACAAGCACACAATGAGGTTATGTGTCTGTTTCATTTATTAGTGTGAATTTAGTAGTTCATGTTATCAAAATATAAATGAATTTAAAGACCTCCCAAAGTGTCCAGCTGGGAAATGGCTGGACTTCAATTTGCTTACTTACGGTTCTGTCTGTTTTAGAAACTAATTTAAGTTCCAGGCAACTTTTCTATTATGGAGGCCGCATTCAGTTAGCTGACCCAGAAATCCCTGCTGTAAATGAACATTATTCACTGCTGGGATACAGTGTTTTAGACCTCAATTAACTGAACTTGCCACCTGTTTTGTGGAGGCTAAATGGATTCAGAGTTTTCAATAAATTGCTTCTCGTGCTATATGTTTGTTGGGAAAAAAAAAGTATTTAGAATATATTGATTCTTACAAAACCTGCACTGGCCTATTAAACATAGGTTGTGTTACAATATAAACACATGGAAATCATTATGAAATCACATTTATCTCTACTCCAAATCTAGAGAGAGACCGATTATTGCAACATTCCCTTCAAAGCTTCCTTCACTCCCAACACAAATATGCACACACTTTGACAGAGAGAAAATATATATGCATGACAAATTATGTGTTTTTCTGACATGTATAAATTATTCATTTTTTGTAACGTAAATTACCTAAAATGGCAAGTGTGATATTAATCCAAAAAAAAAAAAGAACATTCGCTCAATTCTGGTTTATTATCCATCTGTTAAATCCAAGCATATGGAAACATTTGAACACAAGGATTGAATATGAGGATTAATGTGCTCGCAAAAGTACTCATCTTCCAAAAAAAAAAAAAAAAAATAATAATTCTCCCAAAATTTTTGTTTTTTGAACATCAAATGCTTATTTGTATTGTCACTGTATTATCTGTATTATGATAGTATTTATTCATATTACTATATGAATGATATATAAAATGTACTAAACTTGCTGACATTTTAGATAGTTTTAGTTTATGTGCTTTTTAATTGGCTTTTTTTAAAGCCTGTTTAGCTTTTATTTTATTTATTTATTTATTTTTATTTAACTTTTTTCAAGCTCTATTTTATTTACTAAAAAAATGTAATAGTTTTAGTTTAGTTAATAACACTGGACAAGTTTAGCTCAGGTTGTAAAATGATATTTATGAATAATTATTATGTAATTATACAATAGCTTATTTGGGGAACCTGTATAATAAAACATTTAGGTATTTATTTATTTACTTACTTCTTTGAACAGTTCTGGAAAATATAGATATTAATTACACTGTTAGCGATTTCTGTAAATTACACAGTATTTAACTGTAATATGAACTGTACTTTACTGTAAAACAGTTACACAGTATGTTACTGTATTTTAAAATTGCATTATGGGAAATATCCTCTTGGCGCCATTAAAATACAGTATTTTTCATTTACAAGAAGAAGAAGAAGAAGAAGAAGAAAAGGAAGACGCACACACCTCCCAGCTGCAAATGTATGTACAATATTCCTGCTTTTCCATTACATATTTTATGTCAGTGTAATTTTAGGGGTTATTTGTTGGTTTAATTAAAAGCTAAATAATAATAATAATAATAAAAAAAACGCTTACTGCACAACGTGCAGTTTCCTCACGGTGTTCGTTGGTAGAGAGCGGAAACTCATTTGAGATTGAAGAGAACATTCTGCGCAAAAAAATATCTTTCTTTCTTTTCTTTCCTTTTTTGTAGAACGTTTCACCATCAAAGTGCGAACATAAACAGGTCTCTGTCTTCGTTTTGACCACGTCGGTAGCAGGTGAGGTTTTATGTGAACTTGTATGAAATTGTTGGCCAACAAACTGAGCTTTTAATGGTACAGCTGTGTAATCTCTTGGCGCTACCCATATATAAGTATATGGACACTTAGAAAAACTGTGTGGTTTGTGTGTGTGTAGGTCACAACAACTCTGGCAGATGCAAAGACCAGGCTTTGACTTCTTTCTACTCCAAGGCTGATCATGCTTGGTAAGATCTTTCAGTACATGATTTAGTGATGTTAAAGGGATGATTTTTAAAAGTAAACATTTAGTCACACTTTATTCATGGCTCTCTATGTCTAACTTTCTACCTAACATCTCCTCAAATAAGTTTCGAAAAACAGGGGTAAGTAAATGATGATAGAATTGTCATTTTTGGGTGAACTATCTCTTTGAACTAATCAGAAAGGCTCCAACATCTACATATTTTTTACTGACACCAAAATCAAATGTGAAATGTTTTTGCAAAGCTATAAATAACACAATAAAAAAACATGAACATGATAAATAATTTTATTTATTTCTTTTTTAGGAGATTCAATTCTGCGCAGCAAAAAAATGGATGCTGGCGATATATAATAGTTTGTAACAATGTTTTGTTTGAGTCTTAACTGAATCTGTGAAAATATTAAAATGTTAATGCAAGGATTACAATTGAACAATTAAAAAAGATTAAAGTTACACAGTTGTCATTGCTTATTTTCATTAAATAATTAAATTATTTTTTTTCTTGTATTTCAATACGTTACTGAAGAAAAGACCATAAAATTACTGTATATTTTACAGTAAAAACTAAAAGTACAGTATACATAATGTAAATACATTTACAGCAAGTTAAATGATACTATAATTATTAATACAGTACTTTTACTGTAAGTTTAATTTACAGTAAGTTACTGGCGAACTGCTGCCAGTAAGTTACTGTAATTTCTACAGGAAATTCTTAACAGTGTACATTTTGCCTTGAAAATGGAGTAAAAGTTTTTCAAAACCAAATGAAACCAGCATGAATATAAGAGCCCGTCTCATGAAAATGCGTATCAATAGCTCAGTTTTTTTGTTGTTGTTAATTTTTGCATGCTATTTATACTCAGAAACTGACTTTGGTGAGCATAAAATACGCATGTGTTTGAAGTGCATATAATATGCAGTTTTTGTGTGCATATGATATGCATTTTGGCTTACATATAATACGCACCTACCCCACACCCCTAAACCTACCCACTGCGTATCATATGCACGCCAAAGTCAATTTCCTTGTATAAATAGTACACCAAATAGAAACATAAAATCGTGTCATTGAAACACGTTCATGTTAGAATATAAAGTGTACATATCTGATAACTTGCCAATACGCACCTACCCCACACCCCTAAACCTACCCACTGCGTATCATATGCACGCCAAAGTCAATTTCCTTGTATAAATAGTACGCCAAATAGAAACATAAAATCGTGTCATTGAAACACATGTTCATGTTAGAATATAAAGTGTACATATCTGATAACTTGCCGTGTGTTTTAAACTAGGGAATCTTACATTCATAGTGGTCATCTAAAATGAATAGTAGTTGCTGGCATTTATTTTGGAGATCCGTTCTAGTTCCTGTTTGTAGATAAATTTTGTCTTGAGAATGTCTGCCAGTCTGTCAAATAGTGAATCTGTTCCTGCTTTCCTCCAACCCATCTGCAATTCCAAGTGATCCAGATCAGCCAAGCATATCCGTGCAGCACCTGACAGGCCTATCTTATACAGCCAGGTAAGAAGAAGTGAGGAAAAGTGCAGAAAGTCAGATATGCGTCCGACATCCTTGCAGGTCTGGAGCTCATTATGAATTCCATCCATGGCCTTTCCCACTGAACTTCCACCTGCTGGCCCTCGGGAACCTCGGTGTGCGCACCGTTCCGGTGCTGCTTCTGTCCATCATGGTCCAGATTTGCCTCAGTGGAACATTCAATTTCTTTTATAAGAGCACTCCAGTAGATTGGGCTGACCCATGCGATTTAGCCGAGAATCACAGCGATGTTAACTTCAAGGTTGATGGTGAGTGTGTGTGATCTTCTGGAGGACATTACAAAGTGACGGATGTCTCGTATGTTCTGTATCTCAGCCAGGACACCATGTGTTATATAGGCACTAATATAATTGACAGAATCTTGCCATGTTGAACATGTTTAAGACATATGAGATCAGGTTTGGGATGGTCTTTAGGAATGCTTCAGGAAATGAGATCTTCTCACTAGGTTTTTCTCAGGTTGTCTGTATGAATACTGCCGTGCTGTGGTGAAGGACAGAAGCGCATTGAATGCAAATCAGTTCATGGCACTAAAAAGCTCTTAATACTTGTTTTATTATTTCAGTTAGTTGCCGAGGCAGCATTTTTTTTTTTTTTTAGTTTAAATTTTTAATTAATTTATTTTTTTAGTTTGTGTGTGTGCGTGTTTGTTTTTTCTAAATCTATTATTTATTTTATATTATATTAGCTCTACTTCAATTACTGAAAAAGACACTGAAATCATATTTTGTCACGATATTTATATATTATTTTAATTCAGCTCTATGTCAGTTACTGAAAACAATTTTTAATAGTTTGTTAAAGTTTTTCATATTTACATTTCATGTCAGCTCTGTTTCAATTATTGAAAACATTTTTAATAGTTTTAGTTAAAGTTTTTACTTTAAAATGTATATCTCGTTTTATTTCATCTCTATTTTAATTACTGAAAGCAGTTTTTAATAGTTTTAGTTTTAGTCAAAGCTTTTCATACAGTACAATATTTATATGTTATAGTACTATTTTAGATTTAGTTAACAATAGCAACACTGGACAAGGCAAGGTTAGTTAATGTTGTAAAATGTCATGTGGTGTGACTCCCCGAAATGATATTTTATTCATTTATTTATTGTGTGTTGTTTGCTTTTTATTTATTTATTTATTTTTTATAAATGTGTGCACTCGTTTTCTTAGTGCAAGGACAATATGATATTACTTTTTACTTGATGGTTATACCATATGACATTGTGGTGTAAAAATATTGAAAAGTTGTTTTTTTTTCTAAACCATATGAAACATGAATATAAAGAGAATATATGAATATACATTTTGAAAAACTTGGACAAGGCAAGTTTAGTTCAGACTAAAATGTCATGTGGTGCAACTCCCCGAAAACCCAATGATATCTATGAATGGAAGATATTTGTCAGTGTAAATAATAATAATAATCATAATAATCATAATAATAATAATATATTAAAGATATTCAAGGTGTAAGAATTGTATGTATGTAACATTTATATTTCTAAGTTTTATTAAGCATTGAAAATAGAACAGAAGTTTTTCAAAACTATATAGTGTCTATATAGTGACACATTTTTAGTATAATTAATTGTAGTTGCTGACATTGTCTGACATATGAAAAGCATATATTACTGTAGGTATTTTATCTCCCTTTGATATATGCTTCCACTTCTTGTGGAAGGGTTTTCAGTAAATACTGGAATATGGCTGAGAGATTTGTTCCCAAGCAGACTCAAGAGCATTACTGAGGTCAGGCGATGGGGTTTCGTGTGCGCTTGATGTTCCCATTCAGGTCTGGGCTTCGTTTTTATTTTGGGTTTTTCAATTTTATTAGGTTTTTTTTTCTCATTTATTTCTATATTCTTTAAACATTTTATTAGAATTTTAGTCTAATAGTCATTTTAGTACTTCAACTGAAATGTATTGTAGTTTAGTTTATTATTTTATTTTATTTTCCAAAAATTATTAATCGCGATTAATTACTGTAAGAAATATACAGAAATTGAATAAAGTTATTAAACTTTACACTAAATTCTAAATTAAATATAGATGAATCCTTAAAGCTACAAAAGTAATTGATTTCCTCTTTTTTATTTTGTTCTTTGCTCAAACAGACATCACAGTAGCTGGGTTATTAGGTTATTTGGCTGCTATTATTTTATGAGCTGCCACTGCTGAACATGACGCGGATCTGACGCGTATCGTATACTTTCATACATACACAGTTTTAAGGCAGCTTTAATCGCCTTTTTGGTAACTTTATGACTTAATTGACGACATGAATGCTCGTAGTTTCATTTGCGCTTTAATTTGAAATTATAGTCTACAGCGTGCGCTGCCGCATTAGTGTGTGCAATTGAAGAGCACATGCTACGAGCTCAGTATAACGACTGACAGGACAAGAAAATTCGTTTTTACTGACATATGGCCAGACAACATCTCATCTGACCGCAGTTCACTGATGTTCTACTGAAGCTCTTCTTCACCTGTATGATTTCTACACTCGTTTGACTCGCACCTGTCGTTGCGGCGAAGTGGAGTGCGCATCTGAAAAGTATCCTGTTTTATGTGCTTGTAAATACGTTCTGTGTTTAAATAAATGTAAATCTTGTGAAGAAAAAAAGAGACAGAGGCAGCAGTTGTGATTGGGGTGGCCAACCCTAGCTCCGCCCCTGCGTTAATTGCGTTAAATATCATTAACGCATTAAAAGGACGAATTCAACAATTCATCTCCTCCGGGTCGCCCTAGCGCCATTTTGGAGAGTATACACTGAACGCAAACAGCGTATGTTGTTCTGTGTCAGCCGTGTGGTGCGGCTGACACAGAACAACATACGTTGTTTGCGTTCAATGGATGCGTTCAATGGATACTGTTGAATAAAGTCATTTTTTTTTTCTTTTGTGCAAAAAAGTATTCCCGTAGCTTCGTAATATTACGGTCAGGTTTGGAACGACATGAGGGTGAGTAATTAATGACAGAATTTTCATTTTTGGGTGAACTATCCCTTTAAACTGAAAAAAAAAACGCCTGTGTCAAAAAAAACAATGAAAACTTCTTAAACATTGTTTTCAAGAAAGTTCAAGAAAGTACAAATATTTATTTATATTTTTATAAACAATATATATATTTTTTTATAAATAACATTACGTTTTGGGGAGTCGCTCCACATGACATTTAAAAACCTGAACTAACTTTGCCATGTCATTAAAAGGGCCAAATTTTCTTACCAAACACAAAGTCATGGTGGCCGGCTGGGATCCTTTTTATTATATTATTTCCTGTTTTTTTGTTGGTTGCACCAGATGACTTTGGTTTTATTGTTTTGTTTTTTGGGGGGGCCAAAACTTTGTGCTTACCAAAATATCTTATTTTGTGTTCAACAGAAGAAATAAACCTTTACCGGTTTGGAACGACATGAGGAAGAGTAAAATTATGACAGATTTTCCATTTATAGTTGTGATATCCCTTTAAGTGTCTTCCCTTTCAAGAGAAAGACCGTTTAAAGTGCGTACCTGCCCTGATTAAATCATTTATTGATCAAAAGGCCATGCATTGCTGACAGACAGTGTAATATTGTTGTTGACATGCTCCGTCTGTGTTTGTGCAAGTGCAAACTCATGTGTGCTTCCCTACTGATGGCTAATTAAAACGTTAGCACAAACGAACAGCGTGCCAGAGGACAGTATGGGTAGCAGACTGTGAGGAAAATCCTGCTAAGGGACCGAAGAAGCGCTTTGATGATGAAAATGTGGGGCAGAA